TTGATATGGAATTTATTTTTGTTGTCTTGTACTTTGTTTATTTATTTTTCCAAATTGATTTTTGGCGTTTTGACATTGATTGCCCTGAAGAACGTAATTTCAAGCAAAGTTCTATCCAGGATATATCTTTCCTTATTTCAGTTAGTTTTTTTTGGAGCCCGTTTTTCTTTTGAGAATATGATAGGCATTAATGACATAGAGCAACCCATACTTACTGTTATAAAAGGCGATTATGCTTGTCGTAAGAGGCGACTAACGGGATCGGTTGGTCAAGTTCGCTGACTTGGTTGATGCATGTCATCGTATCCCAATAGCGTGGATGTCAATCGCTGGATTGTCTGGTCCAGACTCGATTATTTACAGACCTCCGTCATATAGCTGAAATATTGCTGAGTGCAGCGTTAAACAAAAAACCCCAAACCCAAACAAACAAACATAGAGCTTACTACACGATAGACTACCTGATACTATATTAAAACGAATTGTGTCAAGACGTATCTAACGAGCGTATCTTATCAATGAATTAATAATCAGGAACGAAGTCAGTCATAATCTGACAGAAGGTCATCACCATGGTTTAGCCAATCACGGAACTGAAATTAGATCTTGTGTTTGATACCAGTTATCTCACATAGGTTTCTCTACAGGTGTGGAAGAAAGTGAGTAGGGGAGTATGGTTTCAAGTCGCTTTTAGCAATATTCCAGCAATATCACGGCTGGGGACACCAGAAATAGGCTTCATACATTGTACACATGTCGGGAATCGAACCCGGGTCTTCAGCGTGACGAGCGAACGCTTTAACCACTAGGCTACCCGACCGCCCCTGTGGAAGAAAGGCATTAATGAGATACCATTACTCTCCTCCGACATTAAACTGAAACAGTGTCATATCCCCATTTAAGTTTATACACTATTATGCATTTAATAAAATCCGTTTTGTTTACGCTCCTTCATTGACATCTTTTTTTTCAAAGTAGGTGGGCTGGTACAGTGCAGGTCGGGGCAGCCGGAAATCGCCACTCTAGATATCTCTGCGAGCTGCTCCAGGATGCAAAAGCCGACAGATCCGGTACGGGAGTGTCTTTCACCATTGCTACGCTATCCTCAAGTCAAAGCCATGTCGGATTACCCCCTCACTGTCCAACACAGGCCATTGTTCATTTTAACCATACACCTGTTACCAGACAGTCTTGAAAAAAGCATTCGCTCGTAGTGGCGTTGATACTTCAGAGTTCTTGTCACATTGCTCTAATTTCTAATATTCGCCTTCCGCATTAGAAATTATTTCATAACTTAACCATATTTTCTCTTTCTACCCTATGAATGCTTTAATGTTACAATGTGGATAGTGGGATCCATGGCAGTAATCACCCACCTCGGATCTAACGACCTGGGCCCCGTTCCACAAAGCGATCATAGCGATACGACCGTCGTATGCCAATGTTAGAGTATGGGAGCTACGGTCGTGTTAGCGCTACGATCGCTTTTAAGAACGGGGCCCAGCTACAGATCTGCTCGTCTCTCCTCCAGACGGCTGCTGATGGAAGCCTTTGACCACAATCATCTGATCCAACATGGTGCCGAGGAGGCAGTTGATGGGGGCGCGTTCCTACTCAACCAACGATAAGGCCAGGTCGAGTGAAGGACCTCGGGACAATGCAGATACATCAGCCGGCCATACGGGCCATATATGGTGATACGGTACATTTGGGATGGTGTCCACTTTTCCAGCTTGTTTGTTTGTTTGTTCGGCCAGCGTCACTTTGTCCTCAACCTCATGTCATCTCTCAAGTTATTTACTTAGATAACTTTCGCGTTTTGGCAGGGTAGGGTGCTTATTTCAGGTTTGTCTTTGGTCTTGGCCGGTTATGCGCGTTCGTACTTGACAGAGTACTTGTGGGCTAAATTAATTGATGCTATATTTTACATTTTATTTTAGTCACCAAATTTATAGGTGCTTATCAGCGGTTGGGAATCCATCTTTTTGCCATATTCTATTTCTGTCAGCTTTTAAGCAGAATATATTAGTTTCTTAATTATTATTGCTTTTGCTGTTGGCGAAACTAGTCGCCAATCACTGCTGCTACTGGCAACACCATTTGCCCATTCAAATACCTTTGCTTGATGCACCTACAAGTTCAAACAGTGTCAAACCAAAACAATCATCAAGTCACTATCGTTACCAGTATAGTAGGAATGTATACTAGTATTTCACAAAATAGTATATCGTTATTACATATACAGTCGTTTCATTTCCTTAATATAAATTTCAGGGGCGGTCGGGTAGCCTTGTGGTTAAAGGGTTCGCTCGTCACGCCAAAGACCCGGGTTCGATTCCCGACATGGATGCAATGTGTGAAGCCATTTCTGGTGTCCCCCGCCGTCATATTACTGGAATATTGCCAAAAATGGCGTAAAACCGTACTCACTCACTTATATATTTCATCGGCAAGATATTTAAACATTATTTAGAGGTTATCAGATGGCAAGGTTACATAAGTTAATTTATGCCAGTTTTCATATCATACCCGATATCAACCCGAGACCCCTATATCAGCTTGAGGGCCGAAGGCCAGTGAGCTGATATGGAGGCCGAGGGTTGATATGATGTGATATGGGGTATGACATGAAAACTGCCATAAAATAGCCTTTTTATCATATACCATAACATCAAATTTAAAATGTATCCATTCATGAAACATCCCTCGTGTATGTCCGTAAAATACTAAGAAAAGATATGTTCACCTTGTTTAGAAGATATTGTCACGGGAAAGCTAACCGAGCAGACGACGCTCCAAGGGAGGTAACTCTAATTTCTTACCACTCGGGCTGATGTCGATCGCCATTTCAAAATGCATTGACAAGCCATATATCAGCCCGGGCGGGGTGTAATACGGGTCTGGTTATGACACCGCCTGTGATATGACCGTCTCCATATTGGTTAAATCGCATATTAAATATGGCTCATGCCCCATGATTATGAGTTTTATTAACCGTTTGTAATTCTTGCTCGTGAAAAATAATGATTTGAAAGGCCGTTCGCATTGTAGACAAGTTCGATCATCCGTGACAGCTCGACAAGAGTTTCAGACCCTTATGTATAGCTAGTTGCTATTTTGCGTTGTCATTCCACTGTTCACATTCTCAAGCCATGTGCATATGTTGATGAGCATGGGTTCTCGTAAATCCACTTCCTAAACGAAAGCAGAGTACAGACTTCTTGTCTGACCTACTTGGTTTGTTTACTTAATGGATTAGGTGTGTTTGAGTTCGAGCCTCTAGGTAAACAGTCTGGGTTCTGCCACTTCCATGTCTTCCTGTGTGCGTGGTCGTTGTGGGCGTTGATTGATGTGGGCGTTGATTGATGTGTGTTGATGATTCGGATAAACACCAGCCAGAATTGTTTTCTGAATCAAAGATGGAGGTTTGGAACATTCACGTATTGTATATACATGTATCTGATAACTAATTAGTTCTTTCTTATTTATGGGAAAGCAAGCGTCGCCATTTAATTACGTAAGAGATGGACGAGTATGTATATGTACATTGATGTAAGCGTGGATTATTAATATAAAGTTAAACCCGGATAATTCAAATGGATTAACGTCAGGATTACGGTTGGCCAACAGGATCTAATCATTTCAGATATGAGTAAAACTTTTCAAAGTCGTTATGAATGTAATCAGTGCATTAAGGCATCAGACGTCAGTATGTCTGTTTTGAGGTGAGGTGAGGTGAGATTGGGTTTAACGTCGCGTCCAAGATTTTTGCACTTACATAGCGACGTGCATGCACGTGTATGTGTGTGTGCGGCTGCTTGTACTAGTCCGGACTGATGCCGATTTATAGTGCTTGCTCACTGAGATACCATGCCGCAGTTTAACATGAATACCCCACTCAGGCACAGTATACTGACTCCGAGCCGACCAGTCCGGGCGGACGCTCTACCACAAGACCACGGAGGCGGTCATGTCTGTTTTGAAATTATAACAACATCATATGTATAGGTAAGACTATGCTGTTTAAAAAAATCTGATTTTAGAAGTTTTGGGGAACAAAATTCTTCACGAACTTGCTCATTGTTTTCTCTTTAGGTCTGCAAAATCAACCCTATAATCATGTTAGCCATACTCATGGACTCAACACGTCAGAGGTAAGAAGGAAAAAAGCTACTTTTAAACATGTATGATAGTTTTCAAGTCTTAATGGTTTTTTTCAAAATGTATTAACTTTAATGTAACATTTTCAGTCGGCCAAAATAGGCCCTTATCCTTCCTAATTCCTCCCGGGGAAAAACGTATGGGATAATGTTCCCTTATGCATCTTTTGACGATCCCAGGAGGTGTTCTGATTAGCGGGGTCCAGAGTAACGAGGTTTCACTGTATTTGATTCCAGTGTGTGTCAATCAGGGGAATCACGTGTCTACACACCTGTACATTGACAAGACAAATGGTTTACTCGACGAGTAGATAGCTTGAGGCGAGTGGATGAATAAGTTCACTGTGTATCTGTCACCAGCGACAAGGATGTAAAATACGCACGCCACTCACATGTCCCATCTTCCTGTATGTGCGAGCTGTGTATATGTAGACATATATAAAATCAACATTAACCGAAACACAGCGTTTGACCCAAGACAGGAATATGGTTGAACTAAGGTCTGTAGATACTCGAGTTCAGACAAGACAATCCTGTGACTGACATCTTGAGCCTCAATCATCTTGAAACCTCCAAGCCTGACAACCTGATCCATTTAGTCGGGTCCTACGGCGAGCATAGGTTGCTGTGGACCTATATTGTTACCCGGAATCACCACGTCTCAGTGTCTACCAGCTGACAGCACATGACATCTGCTTTCTTGGAAGTTAAAAGCTCTTGTACGCAAAGCTCAACTGTCGGTGATTCTCCAGTGTTCTGACAGATGGAATAAAACGTTTCGTCTTCAACACCGTAATGTATGACAGACATTTCGAAAAAACAAAAAAAACAAACATGCAACCATTCTTATGAAACGATTAATTTTACTTTGCAGTAACCATCAGTGAAGAAAATCACCAAATTGATTACAGAAGTAATTTTAAAGGACGTTTGTGAATCTGATGTGCCTTGCCCGCGACCACGAGAGGACGTGGGGATATTTCTGTTTCTCACAGCAGTCTTTGACACAGCATCTCTGCAAATTCTGAAACCAAGCAACAAGATGTTCGAGAAACGATTCTTAAATCCAGTGTGAATGATGTGAAAGAGAAGGTGAATTGCGGGCAAGGGATACGGGAATGGTTGGGATAACGACATGAATTGCCATGCAGTCTAATACATGGATATAGTAATATTCTGTATATTGGAAGGCGTAGGTAGATACTCATCATACCTTCATATTTTATTTTGTTTCCAGGGTGTATTTTGACAGCGCTCAGTCCCGTCTCTACCTCATTCTCCGTCAGCCTCTCCCCTACCATCATCACCACCTGCTTCAACATGGACACTTCAATCATCCCGTCCCTGTTGACGTCCAGCACCGCCAGGGCCTCCTTCAGGTGCCGCAGCTCCTGCTCCATGGCGCCGACATGATGCGACATCAACACGGCGTACTCGTCAAACTCAATGTAGCCACTGTCTGCGGGAAAACGTCATCATCAACGCCATCATATAATTATCTGTATTGTTGTATTTTCTTTCCCATACGATTATATAATTCGTCTGTGTGTGATCTTGTATGTGGTTCTTACTGACTTCTTTATGTATTCCTAAACTTCATTATGTCTTCATTCCCTACTTTATCATTTTAACCCTGCTTTTATCATGTTAATCCCAACTTCAGCATGTTATCAATGACTTTATCATTTATCTCTGACTTTGTCATGTTATTCCCAACTTCGGCAAGTTTTAACTGACTTTATCATTTATCTGCTTTTATCATGTTATTCCCAACTTCAGCATGTTATCTCTGACTTTAGCATTTGTCTCTGACTTTATTATGTTATTCCCTACTTCAGCATGTTATCACTGACTTTATCATTTATTTCTGTCTTTATCATGTTATTCCAACGTCAGGATGTTATCTGACTTTATCATTTATTCACTGACTTTATCCCTTTATCCTGACTTTATCATTTATTCATGTTTTCGCTGACTTTATCATGTTTTCTCCAACACTTTAGGGGCGGTTGGGTAGCCTAGCGGTTGAAGCGTTCGCTCGTCACGCCGAAGACCCGGGTTCGAATCCCGACATGGGTACAATGTGTGAAGCCCATTTCTGGTGTCCCCCGCCGTGATATTGCTGGAATATTGCTAAAAGCGGCGTAAAACCATACTCACTCACTCACTCACTCCAACACTTTATCCCGTCTTTATCATGATAGCCCTTCTTTACATAGTGTTTTCCTGGCTTCAGCGTGATTTTCCTGAATGCGTTGAGTGAACTTCATTATAATTTCCCTGATTCCACTATACTGACGTTTTCAATCCATGACATCCTTCTGTTATCCCTGATATACCACTTGAGAAGCCGATGCATAACTAGTCGTGTGTATGAGTAAATGCCCCTGTAAGAGTTCTAAATGCATTAAGTGAAATACATAAATGGGTAAATGTGAGTAAACTAACATGCACTGTCTGATTATATGCGTTTAGGAGTTTTAGAGGTTAATGATAACTGCTACTTGTGAGAACACAATACAATCCCTGTTAATACTTAAACCACAAATGTCAACATTACAAATGAACGAATAGCTTCATGAACATTCGCCAACTTAAACATTTTTGTTTACGTTTTCTGACGTTTCATGGAATACCATTTCCGAAAAATGCAATTTACAGCATTCTTTGACAAGTGTGTTCTTGAATGTTGCCTCTAAAATTTCTGTTAATGTACAAAGAGACATATTCATATACCGTATATCTTAATTCTGTTAGATTGTTATTAAACGTAAGGCTAATAGTTCCATCAGAAACTACAAATGTTTACATACTAGTAGTTTGATGGGGTTGCCATGTAAGAATGTTCATAATCATACACATATGTACACATGTTCTGATCTATATATTCGCTTCAAAGAGTCTTGCTGTACTAAAGTATTTTTAAGGTAGGGGAAGTAACTCTTACTGTCTTCGTCCACTTCTTTTATCATTGCCTCAGCGTCCTGAAGCGTCGGGTTCATACCCAGTAGGCGAGATGCTCTCAGCAGTTCGTGTGACGAAATGCGTCCATCTCCATTTTCATCGATAAGGGAAAACGATTTCTTTATCTCTGTCAACATGAATATCATGTTAAAAAGACATTAACCTCCATACTGAACATCTATCAAGTACTTCATGGTATCTCTTCCAAGGAGGCATACGGTTGGGCTCCCCCTTTACTGTGACCTAGGATCGCCTCAGCTGTTACACCGGGTACATGTGGCACACACCTTGACCTAGGATCGCCTCAACTGTTACACCGGGTACATGTGGCACACACAGTGACCTAGAATCGCCTCAGCTGTTACACCGGGTACATGTGGCACACACCTTGACCTAGGATCGCCTCAGCTGTTACACCGGGTACACGTGGCACAAACAGTGACCTAGGATCGCCTCAGCTGTTACACCGGGTACACGTGGCACAAACAGTGACCTAGAATCGCCTCAGCTGTTACACCGGGTACATGTGGCACACACCTTGACCTAGGATCGCCTCAGCTGTTACACCGGGTACACGTGGCACAAACAGTGACCTAGGATCGCCTCAGCTGTTACACCGGGTACACGTGGCACAAACAGTGACCTAGAATCGCCTCAGCTGTTACACCGGGTACATGTGGCACAAACAGTGACCTAGGATCGCCTCAGCTGTTACACCGGGTACACGTGGCACAAACAGTGACCTAGAATCGCCTCAGCTGTTACACCGGGTACATGTGGCACACACCTTGACCTAGGATCGCCTCAGCTGTTACACCGGGTACACGTGGCACAAACAGTGACCTAGGATCGCCTCAGCTGTTACACCGGGTACACGTGGCACAAACAGTGACCTAGAATCGCCTCAGCTGTTACACCGGGTACATGTGGCACACACCTTGACCTAGGATCGCCTCAGCTGTTACACCGGGTACACGTGGCACAAACAGTGACCTAGGATCGCCTCAGCTGTTACACCGGGTACATGTGGCACACACAGTGACCTAGGATCGCCTCAGCCGCCACACAGGGTACATGTGGCACACACAGTGACCTAGGCTCGCCTCAGCTGTTACACAGGGTACATGTGGCACACACAGTGACCTAGAATCGCCTCAGCTGTTACACCGGGTACATGTGGCACACACAGTGCCCTAGGATCGCCTCAGCTGTTACTCCGGGTAAGTGTGACACACACAGTAAAATAAACTCCGGGAACTTGTGACACACATTGACCTAGACTCGACCTAGCCGTTACTCCAGGTACATGTGATACACACAGTGGCCTAGACTCCGGGTTATGTGTGGCACAAAAAGTGACCTAGAATGGAGCTAGCCGTTCCTCAGGGTACAGGGCGGTCGGGTAGCTTAGTGGTTAAAGCGTTCGCTCGTCACGCCGAAGACCCGGGTTCGATTCGCGACATGGGTACAATGTGTGAAGTCCATTTCTGGTATCCTCCGCCGTTATATTGCTGGAATATTGCGAAAAGCGGCGTAAAATCAAATTCACTCACTCGCACACCTCCGGGTTCGTGTGGCAGGCACAGTAAGCTACGGGGCAGGATGTACCCGGCCGTTACTCTGTGAACCTGTGAAGTTATAAATACTTCATCAAACACGTATTCCATAGTTTGGATCCATTAATGTTGGTGTTGAATGGCACCACAGGTCTAGTCAGACAAAGACATGCATGCAACTACAATGTATAAATAAATATGCATAGCTCTTGTGAGACTTCGTGTAAAGAGTAGGTGACAAACCCTTAATCTGTGCCGGCGTCATATCTTCCATCGTGTCTGAAAGGAAACATAACCTGATCGTAGTGACATTCCTACAGATATTCGTGCGTAATTCATTCTTTGAATTGTTTAAAACTAATTGTGGGGAAACTGTAGCATGCTATTACAAGAAACATTGACTACCCATCCGCGTCTGTACATGAAACTATTTACGATTGGCATAGTTCCCGCCCTCCCGATAGAGAGATGGGTTTGGTCTCATGCAGTCGATGGGAGATAGACATTGTATCAGAATATTTAAAAAATGTTCATCTTTAATCAAGATTTAACTATCCTCAATTAAAATTCGTTACAGAAGAAAAGTTTAAAGAAAGGAAAGTTTACGCACGCACCACGGTTTCATTATATTTAAATGAAAGAACATTAAAGCTATATATATTACGTATTGGGAATAAAATACAATATATAAACCTGTAAATCAAACCCATTACCTTGTAGTGTAGGGCATTAAAACCAGGCGATACAGTAGGGCTCAGTAGCAGTTATAGCTGGCCTTCGCGCATGCGTCGTGCAGCTGTAAAGTCAGGGGTCGCAATAGTTAGAGTCCGGCAATCGGATTGTAATAGTAAAGGTCCGGCAATCGGATTATTATTGTTATTTTGAGCTGATCCGTCTTCCCAGACACAGATTACAGTATGACTTATACCACCTGGAAACGCAAAGGTGAAATTGAATGGCAGAGTATGAACCTGAGGAAGTGGTCATATGTTCAGGAGTTCACGATAAATCCATGTGTTGTGATGCGCGATGGATGTCCATCTTTCTCCCATGGAGGTACGACCGCAATAATGTGATGTGATGTGCAACACGTGTCTCTAGAATCTGTTACTAAACAAGATTCTATAGCAGTAAACTACGGTTATAACGAACACGCTTATAACGAACTGGCGGATATAACGAACTTATTTTTGAGTCCAGACTATGTGCTGTAGTTATGCTGTATATATGCTTATAACGAACTACGGTTATAACGAACTAAAAATAGTAGCCCCTTTGAATTCGTTATAAACGTAGTTTACTGTTTGGAATATCATTGTGGTTTGGGGACATCGTTCACTTTCGTGATCTCATCGTGAGGATACGTCTCTCGGACGAGACTTTCTGAACATTTTGCGCCAAGCCATAGATGCAGTTTACACCACACTACATTTCAACAAATATGGCTGTGACCTGGGCTAACTTGCACAAAGCGATCTTAGCGCTAAGATGATCCCAACTCCCATACTTTAACATAGGCTTACTATAGTGGTAGCGCTAAGATCGCTTTGTGCAAGTGGGCCCTGGACTCGACCAGGTTGTTACTCCGGGAACATAATACATACACCCGCACTTTAATTACTCCAGGAAAGTGTATCATGCATATACGATTTTCATAAGGAACTGGACAATCCCATCTTCACAAGGCAAGGGAGTTTACTGACTGTAAAAGTCGAGTTTCCACCCATGCCAAACTAGGCTGCAATTATGGAGTTATACTTTGGCTGGACTAACGAGTCTATGCATAGTCCAATCAAAATCGTATACGAAATCGACATCCGGTTCGTAACCAACACGGATTTCAACGTGCAGGTTTTGGTGGACTGCAGGATTTGCAAAGGATGTGTACCGTCAACTTGGCGTCAACAGATATTTTCCAATTCCTTAAATGTGCTCACGTGATTTAATGCACTTCGCGAGGTACGACCCGTTTTATTGCAATATATACATCTTGATCATGGATCAGATCGTCATGTCTGGGCGTCGCCATTTTTTTTAAAGCAAATGCAAGTTAAATGAGGTGTGGAATCTGATTGTTTAATGGGAGGCGCATAGAAGCGACGTAACTCGTAATAGACATTGGTGGCGCTACAGTCGAACCCAGATATTCCAGGGTTGAAACCGGACATTTACAGTCATTTAACTCTCTTGCCTCGGGAAGATGGACAATCTGTACCAACGGTGGGTACGGATCGTACATAGTATTCTTTTCATACCATTTAGCGCTACACTTAGTTGCATATTTCACCACACAACACGGCGATGAGCGGTTTACTTTAACTTTGGCTCTGTTTTTGTTTGTGCCTGCAACATTCGGCAGTTTAACCTCTCGATGCCACTGCAATGCGCGTAAATTTGGTTCAACGCCGCTTTGAACACTATTTCAGTCATATCACGGCGTGTCAGCTTAATGTGGAAGGAAAGCCCCAAGTGATGCATGTCTCGGACGTTTACCACTTTGAGAAACCCACAAGCACGGGTATGGTGCTGACAAGTTAGAAGCAATCTCGGGGCTAATCTGGCATTCGAACCCAGGATAATAGATTACTTAGAACACCCAAGAGCACACTGCGACGTCTTGGTCATGCAATTAAAATATCAAAGGACTTCACAGTGTTACACGCGTGTCCGTTTCTGTTTTCAGCAATACATTACGTAAAGTAAAATAGATTTCCAGGCAAGTGTGAGTGAGTGAGTTGGGTTTAACGCCGCTTTTAACAGTATTCCAGTTATATCACTACGTGTCAGCTTAATGTCGGAGGGAAAGCCCGAAGTGATGCAGGTCTCGGACGTTTACGACTTCGGTGAAACCCACTAGCACGGGTATGGTGCTGACAAACTAAGAAACATAATTGGGGCGAACCGGGATTCGAACCCACAACCATAGGTTTCTGACGTGCCCAAGGGACGGAACTCTGCACAGCGAATCGCGGCGCCTTGGACGACTGGGCCACCCGCGCCACCTCCAAGCAAGAAAATGTAATATGAATTGATTGACAGTATCCTAAACGTCACAGCATTACTAATCAGACCTTTACCACTTTGGTGACACCCACAAACATGGGTAAGGTGCTGACAAACCTAGAAACATAATCCGGGCGAAACGAGATCCACACCTATCAGCATAAGCTTCTGACGTGCCCAAGCAAGTTATGTTTCGAAACAAAACAACACGTGGCACTAAGTAATTTGACATTTATTCAAATGCAAGAGCAGAACCATTTCACACGTATCGTGGTTGGTCACGTGGTGGTTCATGTGATTAGTAGCCAGTAGGATACCGCGGTTGGGAAGGTACTCGGTAAGGTAGCCGGTAGCGTGGTATGTCGCGAGGTCGCTGGAGCGGTTTTGGACACTCTGCAATGGCATCATATCGCTTCAGCTTTTTTGGCTGCGCATTACTTAGGGTATAGTAGCTGTTTTTATCTGGGGCTATGGCAACAGAATATCCATTCATCTCAGCGACGTAGGGGAGGCGAATGGCGTCGCAGCTTGTGATGGCGTTGGCAAAGGCGTGGTCGGTGACCGGAAAAAACAAGACGCTGTCGCTATTCTTCAGGAGGAGGAAACTGTCGTCTGAAGCGACGTCTAGCCCCTCGGGGCCGTCCTGGGAAGATTTATGGGGGAAGGAGCCAATTGGGACAGGCAGTCGGCTTGGAGCGCCCACTTCAACTAGCTGGTACAACGTCACAGCCTCATCGTAGGTATCCTGGTAGTTGGTGATGAAGATACGACCGCTGCTGGTCACAGTGAGAGCATGGCTCTCGCCCACCGCCCTGAAGAGAGAAAGTGTTGGACACAAATCAGTGATAAAACTCATATCCAAGTAAATTCTTAGAAATAAAATGTTTCACAGTCTGCTTATTTAATTATTAACACAAACAACTGCAGACATCAATACAAATGAGTGACAGATACAATAGTCCGTTAGCGTTGGTGTAGGGAAACAGCAAATCATATGTCCGCAGATGTTAAGATGCCGTGTAGGTTTTGACATTGTGCTAAGGAGATGTTTGTTTGTTTGTTGTTCAACGCCTCACTCAGCTATATTCCAGATATATGACGGCGGTCTGTAAATAATCGAGTCTGGACCAGACAATCCAGTGATTGACATCATGAGCATCGATCTACGCATTTGGGATACGATGGCATGAATCAACCAAGTCAGCGAACCTGACCACCCTATCCCGTTAGTCGTCTCTTTCGACAAGCATGGGTTGCTGAAGACCTATTCTACCTCGGATCTTAAAGGGGTGTACAAAGGAAGCCAACCAACCAATGACAGTGTATGTGAATGTAAGTAAATATGTAATATATCATACAGCATGTCATCTATTGGTATATGTCACACAGTGCATGCAGCGGGTGACGTATCACAAAATTTATGCAAGGTGTACTCTTGTTGTGTCACCATGAATAAGGCCACATTTCAACACTACGTGTCAGCTTACTGTGGGAGGAAGTCCGAGGTGATGCAGACATTACGATAACCACTTTTCGTGAAACCACCTAGCACGGGTATGGTGTTGACAGATCAGGATCAGATCAGGGTGAATCAATTCTAACCCAAGATCAAAGGATCCTGGCACACTCAGGGGACGCCACTCTGCACAGTGAATACTGTTGCCCAGTGCGTTAACGATCTTGGTGAAACCTACGGGCACGGGTATGGTGCTGACACACCTAGAAACATTATCGGGGTGGATCGGAATTCGATCCCACGACAACAGATTTCTGGCGTGCCCAAGAAACGCAATTTCTGCACAGCGACTTTCGGCAGTTAAATGATTTAGACACCTGATGACGTGGTTTATTAATGTCATCGTATCTGAATTACATAGGTCGATGTGTATGACGTCAGCAAATGGATTGTCTGATCCAGACTCGATTTTTTACAGACCGCTGTCATCTAGTTTGAAACTATAGTGCGGCGTTTACAACAAACAAAAACAGACAGGCAAAACGTGTTGCATATTGGAAATAGCCCGACACAATAGAGATACTGTGCACGTGCATTCCGTGTGATACAACTGGATGTGGATGTTACCTACATGTACATGTAAATATACACACTGAGAGGGGGTGTAGGGGTGTAGGAATGCGCGACCACGTTTCTGAATCATACAAAACATTACAATGCGAGTTACGTATATACACAAAGAAAAAACGTTAAGCACACCCCTATTTCTGAACCATGACAAATGGCAAAAATCATGGCATAGGGTGACTGACCACAGGAGCTAGGCGATACCAATGTCATCGGATAGAACAAACATTTGACAACAAATAAAGAAGCTATTGGTGAGTTGTGATTGAAATGTACTGACAAAAACATGGTAACACAGGTACTGTTTTTGACCTTAGACAATACCTAAAATACCTAAAGTTTGGAGCTGCAGGATTAAGTAAACGAGTTTGATGTTTCATGTGAAATTTTCCTTAAAGTCTCTACTTGACATGACACGTGAAACAGATCAGTAGCGGGTATAACCGCCACGTGCCCGGATGACGCATTCGACCCTAGTCTCATGACGTTGGATCTGTTGATGGGTCTGAGCCCCTGTTAAGTTGCCCCTTATGGTGACCAAATCCAACCTGCAATTATGAGAGATACAACCCCAAACCATTACCGAGTCCCCGGCGTATGCAACAGTCGGTTTAATGTTCCTGGGGGTATAGGCCGTGTTCCGGTGCCTCCAAACTCTCTTTCTTCCATTAGCGACGTGGAGCAGAAAGCGACTTTCGTCTGACGAATGTATCCGTCTCCAAGTTCTCAGATTCCAGTTCTGTCGCGCAATACACCATGCTAAACGAGCAGCTTTGTGGTGATCTCTCAACAAGGGACGCGTTATGACTCGTCTAGCCCTCAGTCCTGCTGCTTTCAGCCGGTTCCTGGCGGTTCTAGTGCTGAAACGACGATTGGGCAACAACAGCTGTTTCAGACGAGTACTTGTTAAAAATGGGTCTCGGCGTATGAGACAAAGAAGGTTCCTGTCTTCGCGATGTGTCGTCACAGGAGGTCTTCCGGATCTGGGACGGTCCTGTACATCACCGGTCTGAACATGTGTCTCGACTGAACGGCTTACGACAGTGTGATGATACCCCAAATTCCGACCAATGGCATTACAAGATATTCCTGCGTCATGCATGCCGATTATTTGCCATCTTGTGGCGTTTGATAATCGCCTTCGTGCCATGGTCACACAATGACATGGAATAACTGTTTAAAACCGAGCTTAAGAAAGCAATTTTAACGCTTGGATATACTGCTTTTAGACATACTCACGCATGGCACGTGAGCTTTCGTCACGCATGACTGATTACATCATCTCGAGAAAACATAATTCTTCCCGTAATTATATCTTTCATGACTGTTACAAATATTGGGACCAAACAATAATGAAATATATTAGGGGGTGCTTAACTTTTTTCTTTGTGCATAGGTAATCGAGTAAACTCGTTATAACGGTATAACAAAACCGTTTTGTGATATTACATCTGAACCGTATCCGATGGGCGCAAAAGACAGAGTTATGGGGAAAAGCATATGAATGGATCACTGATCATCACCGATGACACCAGGTGTTTGCGCAAAGCATTCGCAACTCACACAATGTGCATAGAAAAGTAAGAGTTTGTTGCCCAACGTCACGCCCAGTAGTACTGCTGCCATACGAAGACTGCCTCTAAACAATTGAGTCTGGACCAAATGCTGTATCTGTTACATCGCCAATACATTATAATAACTTGGTTTATAGATCCACAAACTTTCAAATGAGGAACGTCTGATAACACTCTTATTTTTCTCAATTCTTTAACTCATTTACCCAACAATTAAAAACTTCAAAGGAGAACAATACACAACTCTCTTATATTTCTTAATATGTCAACTCACTTACCCATTATTTAAAAAAGTTGACTTGAGTTTTGATACAAACACATACATCTATTTTATGAGATGACTTAAAGTGCCCTTGGCCTTATTGTTGTCACAATTTGATTATCATGTTTGATTATCATGCTGCCGGTAGGGTAGGACATACTGACCCTTTTGCGAACACCTGGTGTCATCACTGATTTTCAGTCATCCATTCGCTTACTTTTCAACGCTGTTATGTATTTTACACCCATGGAAATCTTTCTGTTTTCGGATAATCGTGATTGGTTAATCTCAGAAGTTGACATTTTATATTTAATTTTTAAAAACCCAACTGTGTTGAATAAGATCATGACCATGAATTTTCCAAATGTGAAACATACAGAAGCAAAGAATAGCTTTGTGGACAAGTCATCACACTGTTTCATTGAGGTGTAGGTGTATGTATCTTTTGAGTCTTGCAGCCACAAATAGCTACTCAATTGCTGATGCGGCTAAATTAATCATCACTCACGACATCTTACATGTCGTAAAGGAATATGTCAGCTGGGTTGATGTCGATGACCTCGGAGAGGTAGACGTTGTCGGGTTCCGGCAGGGTGATGATGGCTCGAGCTGGGCCACCGTTAGCAGCTCCTGGAGAAGACAGGAATATGTAGCATAATACGGCGGATCACAATGTACGACCATCAGGCTATTCAAGACATACTTTTGACATCACTCTTTTGTTTGAACACACTATTGTTTTCCACGACTGGACACCTCGCTGCCAAGCATTACTCACGCGGGGTAAACAGAACTTGTTTTGAATTTTACACTCAAAGAAAGGATTTTAAATTTTGACAGAAAACATGTGTGGCCACCTGACCTCGAACCCGTATCCTATAAGTTGAGAACTATTTATGTTTGTATAATCATTAACAGCTCTATAAATAATACGTTAATTGTTAAGTTACATTAATAATATATGACCCACTCACGGCGGGACATGGCACGCGTGCATCATGATAATAATCACATTACAGGTTCAGTAGGTAAGGGCGACTAGTACAGCATACATTTCTGGTATATTGTTTCAAAGAAAACCTAAATGTGGGGGTGTATTTTAAGTTTGAGAAAGCAGGTTAGTGTATAAAGTTAGTGAACTTGCTCGTAACTTCGGATCGTAAATAAGAAGTACCTATGCCCTGTATGGTTCGACGAGTCTTACTCACGATCAGACAGTTACGAGTGTGTTGTTCTGAACCATGTTCAAACATGTGCTTAGTGTTCCCTGCTAGGATATTGCTGGGGTAATGCTGCAGCGCTGCTAATAATTAGGACTAGGACATGCTGCTGCAGTAGTTATCATAACATACATGTGTATATATAGTCTGGTCATATCTTAAACGTACATACTCATTTTGACGCATTGGGGATCCGAAAAAGAAATGACTTTCATGCTTTATCAAGCGAGTCCAGACCACATACATTTCATTGTAGTCCCTTTCTTAATCAGACAGACGAAACAGGTGCCGAAATAAAAATAATGACACTTCAAAAACATATTCATAATCTCTAAAAACCGTTGATCGGTTGAAAAAAAGAAAACTGTTTGATAAATATAATCAGTGAACACAATACCTTTTCGTATTTGGCGTTCTTTTTTGTACTGAAATAAGTTAAGAGATTTGGTAGGGGAACGGCATCTTATTCTCTTCTATTTCATATTCTGAAATTCTGGGTCGGCGAATCCGTAAAACAAACAAATATATAACCACAAGCTCAACATGGAACCCGAAGATCAAAGTGGCAACGGAAATTGTTCCACTACATGTGATGACTGAGTGTATTTCACAGATCACCTGTTTATAGGATCCAGTATTGATGAGATGCTTCAAGGACAAATGTCGTCTGAAATGTACTGAGAAATGTTGGACTTCCTCACAGATAGCCGCTATGGGAGATTTGAGGATAAGACATTTGGCAAGAAGTTAGCATCCCTACAGGCACCAACTGAGCTTCCTTCCTCGCTGGTCTGTTTCTTCTTCTTAAGACTGAAGTACATCGATTATCTGATATCGATCAATGATGGTCAAATAACCAATTCCCTTCCACTGATTTACCCACTTGAGAGAGACCAGGGCCCACTTGCACAAAGCGATCTTAGCGCTAAGATGATCGTAACTCCCATACTTTAGCATAGGCTTACAATAGTCTTAGCGCTAAGATCGCTTTGTGCAAGTGGGCCCAGACCAGTGAAACCGCCTCATCTGTTTCACATCTAGATCCATATGCATAAAGAGTGAAAAAGAAACTATCCTCAAGACTATGTCAAGAGGGCTGGCTTCAACACCAAGTATCATCCAAATGGAAATGGTCGTGTCGCTTTTATTTCCCAGTGGTAATGCTGATTTAAAGTTATACTGTTTTTCACTAATTAATAACCACAATATGTCTTGCTACGAAAACTAAATGTCATAGTTGAACGTATATTTAATGTGATGTACCTCCGTCCAGAATGTAGATGTAGTTCTGTCCCCCTGACGTCTTTGGCCCCACGGCGATGTCCTGCCAGTCAGTGTTAGTGACGGAGCTCAAAACAAACGTGCTGACGTGGAAGCCATTGGAAGCCTGGATGACAAAGATTGCCGTTGATGCACTGGCCCCAGTGATGACAGCATAGATGAAATCGGGGTTGTTTTTGCTGAAGGCGAGTCCCGTCACACTACCCGACGCAATATAGTCCATCTGTCCAACAACCTTGCCGTAGTTGAACCGTGCAGCTGAAAGCAGTGACGAAAAATCAGTACGACAGTCTGAGTTCATGATAAAGGTGAGGTGAGGTGAAATGGGATTGAACATCGCGTTCAAGATCATTGCACTTATTTACATAGCGACGTGCCTGCACGCGTGTGTTTGACAGCTTGTACTAGTCCGGACTAATGCCGGTTGTATAGTCCTAACCCTCTCAGATACCATTCCGCAGTTTAACATGGGTACCCGACTCAGGCATAGCATAGTGACCCCAAGCCGACCAGTACTTGTAATTAGTCACGTTTTAGCCCCTCTATGCCGAGCGTCAGGAAGGGTAACAACAAGCACCATCTTTTAATGCCTTTTGGTAAGACGCGGCCGGGGATCGAACCACCGACCGTCAGCTCTATTCATACGCTCTATCCAGTAGACCATACAGGCGGTCTTATAATTAAGGAACATAGTACACACAATTGAGCAGTTCAAAATGCATCTAACATTGACCTACTTTAAAGCCATTTGATCAAAGGAGGGCACAGGAGGACCAGTGGTCTAAGGCTCCGTAACTGGCTGTTCAGAGGTATATTCATGCCATACTACACATGCCACTTTCCGAAGGTTGGGGTTCGAATCTGGTATCTCTGCGTTGTCAGTCTCACAACCGTGGATGCGAGTTTCATTATGAGATTAGTATTGCGATATGATTCACATAGATCAATACTGTTCAAAATGGCTATACGAAACACAGAACTGAAAGAACGTTGAGTGAGTGAGTTTGGTTTTACGGCGTTTTTAACAGGTTGACAGTAACATGACTGCGTGTCAGCTCGATGTGGGGGATGCGCGCGTGTGTGTGTGTGTGGTGATGCAGGTCTCAGGCCGTTTACCACTTTGAAATCCACGATCACGTTAAGGTTTTTCTGTGACATGAAACATTGTAGCAAGAACAAAGCCTCCTTGTCGTTTATCACGAACTCTAAGGGAGGGATAGGAACAATTCATTCTTATATATATTATATAACTTACTTGGGACCTCATTCGGTCCATAAGACGTTTGGATGAACTGACGTGAAACTAGTTATAACCAAAATATTTGAACATATATAAACATATGATCTATATCAACTCTCTCTTGTATAATATATATACAAGAGTAGCGATTCCATTATGCGTGAAATGATATACTATAACAAGAACAAAATCACCGTTAGCTCTTACAGCCAAGAATTGCTAACCATAATATATAAGAGTACAAATGTTACAGACGTACCTTGCGAGGCATCAGCACCATTTCTGTCACTGAATCGAAGAACAGGGTTATCTTCCTCAGTGGACGTATAATACCCACATTCATCCGAAGCCCAAGCGATACCGGTTCCACTGGGATCGGGCACGTAGGGGAGGATATTTGCGGCGTTCGCCAACGCCGCCTTTACGTTGTTGTTTTCGACAAGGAAGTGGTAGACGGTGTCGTGAAAGAGGACGAGGAGTTCCTTCCCGCTCGGGGATAGATCGGCACCATCCGGACCTGCGCGGAGATGCAATAAATGCGGCATTAAATGTTCACACATAAACTTAACAAACTCAGTGAACAATTAAAACATGCTACAATCGTGTTCATGGACCCATTGGCATCTGGTTTTGTCTCTTTACAGTTGACCTTTCTGGTTGTATTCACTTCTCAACGTTGATAATGAGACAAATAATGGAACTCTTACTTAGAAAGGTATTTTGATGGGAGGATGACAGATGTCTTCGGTACCTTTTGCTGGATGGAAGGATGACTGTCGTGTGTTGTTTATGTGAGATGAGTATGTTGCTGGATGGAAGGATGACTGTTGTGTGTTGTTTATGTGAGATGAGTATGTTGCTGGATGGAAGGATGACTGTCGTGTGTTGTTTATGTGAGATGAGTATGTTGCTGGATGGAAGGATGACTGTCGTGTGTTGTTTATGCGAGATGAGTATGTTGCTGGATGGAAGGATGACTGTCGTGTGTTGTTTATGTGAGATGAGTATGTTGTTGGATGGAAGGATGACTGTCGTGTGTTGTTTATGTGAGATGAGTATGTTGTTGGATGGAAGGATGACTGTCGTGTGTTGTTTATGTGAGATGAGTATGTTGCTGGATGGAAGGATGACTGTCGTGTGTTGTTTATGTGAGATGAGTATGTTGCTGGATGGAAGGATGACTGTCGTGTGTTGTTTATGTGAGATGAGTATGTTGCTGGATGGAAGGATGACTGTCGTGTGTTGTTTATGTGAGATGAGTATGTTGCTGGATGGAAGGATGACTGTCGTGTGTTGTTTATGTGAGATGAGTATGTTGCTGGATGGAAGGATGACTGTCGTGTGTTGTTTATGTGAGATGAGTATGTTGTTGGATGGAAGGATGACTGTTTTGTGTTGTTTATGTGAGATGGGTATGTTGCTGGATGGAAGGATGACTGTCGTGTGTTGTTTATGTGAGATGAGCATGTTGCTGGATGGAAGGATGACTGTCGTGTGTTGTTTATGTGAGATGAGTATGTTGCTGGATGGAAGGATGACTGTCGTGTGTTGTTTATGTGAGATGAGTATGTTGCTGGATGGAAGGATGACTGTCGTGTGTTGTTTATGTGAGATGAGTATGTTGCTGGATGGAAGGATGACTGTCGTGTGTTGTTTATGTGAGATGAGTATGTTGCTGGATGGAAGGATGACTGTCGTGTGTTGTTTATGTGAGATGAGTATGTTGCTGGATGGAAGGATGACTGTCGTGTGTTGTTTATGTGAGATGAGTATGTTGCTGGATGGAAGGATGACTGTTGTGTGTTGTTTATGTGAGATGAGCATGTTGCTGGATGGAAGGATGACTGTGGTGTGTTGTTTATGTGAGATGAGGATGTTTTCTGGATGGAAGGATGACTGTCGTGTGTTGTTTATGTGAGATGAGTATGTTGCTGGGTGGAAGGATGACTGTCGTGTGTTGTTTATGTGAGATGAGTATGTTGCTGGATGGAAGGATGACTGTTGTGTGTTGTTTATGTGAGATGAGTATGTTGCTGGATGGAAGGATGACTGTCGTGTGTTGTTTATGTGAGATGAGTATGTTGCTGGATGGAAGGATGACTGTTTTGTGTTGTTTATGTGAGATGAGTATGTTGCTGGATGGAAGGATGACTGTCGTGTGTTGTTTATGTGAGATGAGCATGTTGCTGGATGGAAGGATGACTGTCGTGTGTTGTTTATGTGAGATGAGTATGTTGCTGGATGGAAGGATGACTGTCGTGTGTTGTTTATGTGAGATGAGTATGTTGCTGGATGGAAGGATGACTGTCGTGTGTTGTTTATGTGAGATGAGTATGTTGCTGGATGGTAGGATGACTGTCGTGTGTTGTTTATGTGAGATGAGTATGTTGCTGGATGGAAGGATGACTGTCGTGTGTTGTTTATGTGAGATGAGTATGTTGTTGGATGGAAGGATGACTGTCGTGTGTTGTTTATGTGAGATGAGTTTGTTGCTGGATGGAAGGATGACTGTTGTGTGTTGTTTATGTGAGATAAGCATGTTGCTGGATGGAAGGATGACTGTGGTGTGTTGTTTATGTGAGATGAGGATGTTTTCTGGATGGAAGGATGACGGTCGTGTGTTGTTTATGTGAGATGAGTATGTTGCTGGGTGGAAGGATGACTGTCGTGTGTTGTTTATGTGAGATGAGTATGTTGCTGGATGGAAGGATGACTGTTGTGTGTTGTTTATGTGAGATGAGTATGTTGTTGGATGGAAGGATGACTGTCGTGTGTTGTTTATGTGAGATGAGTATGTTGCTGGATGGAAGGATGACTGTCGTGTGTTGTTTATGTGAGATGAGTATGTTGCTGGGTGGAAGGATGACTGTCGTGTGTTGTTTATGTGAGATGGGTATGTTGCTGGGTGGAAGGATGACTGTCGTGTGTTGTTTATGTGAGATGGGTATGTTGCTGGGTGTAAGGATGACTGTCGTGTGTTGTTAATGTGAGATGAGTATGTTGCTGGGTGGAAGATGACTGTCGTATGTTGTTTATGTGAGATGAGTATGTTGCTGGATGGAAGATGACTGTCGTGTGTTGTTTATGTGAGATGAGTATGTTGCTGGATGGAAGGATGACTGTCGTGTGTTGTTTATGTGAGATGAGTATGTTGCTGGATGGAAGGATGACTGTTCGAAGGAAGGATAATTGTTGTATTTTGTTTTTACATGAAGGTGGGCATTGGTTACCTGTGTTGGTCGAATAGAGGGTTATTGTTATATGTTGTTTATATGAGGATGGGCATTGGTCACCTGTGTTGGACGAAGGAAGGGTAATTGTTGTATGTATGAGGGTTGGCATTGGTTACCTGCGTAGGTGGAATGGAGGTTTATTGTTGTGTGTTGTTTATATGAGGGTGGGCATTGGTTACCTGTGTTGGTTGAAGGGAGGGTAATTGTTGTATGTATGAGGGTGGGCATTGGTTACCTGCGTAGCTTGAATGGAGGGTAAATGTTATATGTTGTTTATAAGAGGGTGGGCATTGGCTAGGTGTGTTGGTCGAAGGAAGGGTAATTGTTGTATGTTGTTTATAAGAGGGTGGGCATTGGTCACCTGTATTGGTCGAAGGAAGGATAATTGTTGTATGTATGAGGGTGGGCATTGGTTACCTGCGTAGCTGGAATGGAGGGTTATTGTTGTGTGTTGTTTATATGAGGGTGGGCATTGGTTACCTGTGTTGGTCGAATGGAGGGTTATTGTTATATGTTGTTTATATGAGGGTGGGCATTGGTTACCTGCGTAGCTGGAATGGAGGGTTATTGTTGTGTGTTGTTTATATGAGGGTGGGCATTGGTTACCTGCGTAGCTGGAATGGAGGGTTATTGTTGTGTGTTGTTTATATGAGGGTGGGCATTGGTTACCTGCGTAGGTGGAAGGAAGGGTAATGTTGTGTGTTCTTTATATAAGGTTGTCATTGGTTATCTGTGTTGTTCGAAGGAAGGGTAATTGTTATATGTTGTTCATATGAGGGTGGGCATTGGTTACCTGTGTTGGTCGAATGGAGGGTTATTGTTATATGTTGTTTATATGAGGGTGGGCATTGGTTACCTGTGTTGGTCGATTGGAGGGTTATTGTTATATGTTGTTCATATAAGGGTGGGCATTGGTCACCTGTGTTGGACGAAGGAAGGGTAATTGTTGTATGTATGAGGGTTGGTATTAGTTACCTGCGTAGCTGGAATGGAGGGTTATTTTTGTGTGTTGTTTATATGAGGGTTGGCATTGGTTACCTGCGTAGCTGGAATGGAGGGTTATTGTTGTGTGTTGTTTATATGAGGGTGGGCATTGGTTACCTGTGGTGGTGGAAGGAAGGGTAATTGTTGTCTGTATCTGTGTGCCCCAGATACCACCATCATTGACGACTTTGTACAATTCGATGTCGACCCCTTGGGGCTCGATGCTGAAGAGGTACATGTTGGCGTCTGGATCAACAAACAACGTCTCCGTGCAGAAGCCGCCAGCATTCCAACCACTGTATACAAGAAAATGTCAATTTGGGTTCAAGAAAATATTCTGTTGAAGGGCAATTTTCATATGACAATTTAGAACATTCTCCTAGCCCTTGAGAAGGATGAGCCCGCTTTTGAAGCATAATATGTGATCTATATTCAGGGTGTAACATATTGAATATATTTCCCTTTTAAAGACCTTTCACTTGAATTATCACATTACGAAAGTCCAGTGATTGTCATCACGATCTACGCAATTGCGATGCGATGACGTGCATCAACCAAGTCAGCAAGCTAGATCATCCATCCACTTTCTCGCCTCTTACAATAATAATATATAAAAGAACCGATAATTTCACACAACGTAACCTCGGGCTACCTTCTCTGAATGGCCTCGTGTTTTGTTGTATACGAAGACATAAAAATAACGACTGCAAAGTATTATATCACATTCATTTCGCCTATAACTACGATTTCGGTCAAATTCGTTTCTAATAGTTTTTTCCACATTTAACTGGGCAACTTAGAGCCTTTTCGGTTAAGAATCGTTCAAATGGTGACACAAGCAACACAATTTGCATGAACAGTCTATAGGGGTTACTTGCCCAGGGAAAACGCGTTGGTCACGCGAAAATCCAAAATTACTAGTACTGCCATTATTTCCAAATGGCCGCCAATGATAGACTGAATTGATATTCACCTCTTAGAAAGTGACACAATCATCTGATTGTATAGATCTAAGTGTATCTAAAAGTATATAAACCTACACTTAGATCTATATATATATACTTATTTTGCAAAGGTTAATACAGTTAAACAGATTTGTCCCTTGATTCTTTGTTGTTTAAATGAAACAATACGTAATTACTGATTTAAAATTAACAAACGAAGTCCGCAACTGTCAATATTAAGCAGTTAGATAACATTTGATTAGAAAGCAGCACCTGAACTGACAGGATGTGCCAGCGGGTCATGCCAAGGATGACAGAGCTTCAGTCATCCGGATAATGTACACAACGCACGATGACACTGGATAAACGATCGGAAAAAGGTGTAGAGAAGTTGAACCTAGTTGTTTCCCATACTTGAAAGTGTATCAGGTGAAAAGTGGCAAAATAATAAATCCTCGGGCCTCTCCTCTCAAACCTGGCATCTAAATGGCAAACTGGTTGGAACAAATGTTGCCTTTGTCAACAACACAGTTTTCATCGCCACATGAACAATATCGAACAGGGTGGTTTCAGCATATATTGTTAGTGATAATTAGCCTTATCTGTACTGTATTATCTTTATGAGATATTACGACATTGGATACACTGCTTAGTAACAATCAGATTGTACCAAATGTATAATTAATGTAAATATGCTGAGTGTGAACTCCATACAGAACCTGATGATGTGCATTGCTTATGAAACCTACCGAGAAAAAATATAGTAAGAGAGAAAAAAGAACGAAATTTAACATATGCTTCGGGTATATATGACATCGTTGAATAATGGTCAAATCGCTAATTCCTTTCCACAGATTTACCCATCTGAACTAGAAATAAAAGAGACCAGTGAAACTGACTCACCTGTTTCATATTTATATATGTGCATTAAGATTGAGAATGACTAAAAGCTGTCAACAAGAATGTATGACAATGGAAATGACTTCAAAAGTCAACTTTCCTTTATGTCCAGCAATTAATACACACTTTGGTGTCTACGTTTCACAAACTTTGAGGTACAATCGAGCATGCCTTTTCTATGAAGACGTCAAAGAGCATCACGCGACTTGTTTGATCAGGCTTACAACATCCAATGTCTTAGGATAGTTTTCGCAAGGTTTTATAGTAAATGACAAACGATTGCTTTGCCATGTATTTGTGACGGGTTCCACCAGTGGGGCAGGATGGGCTTACCTTTTTGCGAACACCGGGTATCGTCACTTACTGATAGTTTTTCGTAAACAAATGCTCATGATATAGTCGGTATGCTTCAAAGGACTCTGCTTTTAACAGAGGTTTCTCATGATCTTATGATTATGAAAAGGGTTGTGACGCTTTTAGTTACATGAAATGATTGTATACAATTCAAACGTGATTCCGGCATTATAATTTGTGTTTTCTTCCTATGACATCTTTTTTATGATGTATATGATACTATACACAGGTCTCAGACGTTTACCACTTCGGTGAAACCCACGAGCACGGGTATGGTGCTGACAAACCTAGAAACATAATCGGGGCGAACCGGGATTCGAACCCACAATCATAGGTTTCTGGCCTGCCCAAGGGACGCAACTCTGCACAGCGAATCGCGGCGCCTTAGACGACTGGGCCACCCGTGCCCCGTTGTATTTGTAACTTAAACGAGCAGCTGTTTGAGAGGATCGACCATCTTATTTGTAAGAGTAGTATTTCAAACAAAAAAATGTGAATACGACAGAAAATAATATTCGAAAAGAAACTGTTTTTATCTTACCCGAAAGTAATCACCATGTCATAATTGACCACCTGTGTCCCAGTGATAACATCCGGCTCCTCCACTATGTAGATGACGTTGGCTGGGGTGACTGTACCAGCATCCAAAATGTACAGACATGTCTTCGAGGTGTCAAAGACGCAGTTACCGACTGCAGCGTCCTCCCAATTGGCGTTGGCGGCATTGGAAATGGTTATGTCCCCAACAACTACCCCCTTAATGTTCAATACTCTCACGACATTCGCTGCGCCCACGTCGGTGATAGCATATATGTAACCAGAATGCCTTCTGCTGACGCCTAGACCGGAAACTCTACCCCCAGAGGAGACGTCGCCCGCTTTAGTGGGTAACCCAAATTTGGTAACACCGTCTGAAAAGAGAAGCCAATGTTTATGTGACTGTTGTGTGACTGTTATGTGACTGTTATGTCCTAATGCCCATACAACGGACATAATACATGCTGAGTTTGATTACTTCTTTATGTAACTTTGGTTGATTTACTCAATTACAAATTGTGGAATTAGTCTTTAACCGCAGATGTAGATGTGTGAGTAAAGAAAATGCTTTGTAAGTAGCACTGAGAATGTTCGAAGGACAGGCCTTATTTGAACACTTACTATAAGTACATATTGTGAACTGTTAACAATGAATTTAACATAAATATTAGCAGAAATGTCCTTGGACTGTGGGTCGTTTAATCATTTGAAGTATATAATAATTTGTGAATGTCGGTCTCTATAAATTGATAGCTTGCCTTTCGTTTGGACTGTTTCATGTGACAGAGAAAACACTATGTAATCCCCAAGGCTCTGACATTTTGATTTGCAACGAATAGCGATTATGCCGGGGGCGCAACACTTTGTGTTTGTCACTATTAAAACTACACATACCACACAATCCAAGTTCCTTCCACATTGCTGGATTATAAATATACTACTCAACTCGTGATAACGACACTGGTTTATGGTTGATTGAAATGAAGCTTAACAAGTGTAAGTGCCACGCCTAAACCGCATCCTAAACATCCAGGCAAATGTGTCCCCCATCGGAACGCTGAGAATACCCTTATCAATGTTGAACAGTTATTTAAGTATAAAGGCCTACTACAGTAAAATATGTGTTTTACAAACAAAGTGGTGGTAAAATAACAAGAATTAGGAAGTCCAGTTAAAGAACTATGATATAAGGAAGAACGTAAAGATTGGGTATCTTTAATGTATTTGGCACATAATGACAAGGTTTCAGTGTTAGAAGTTTGTACTGAAGCTCTGAGAGTAAGGAAAGTTCTTACGCTACCACTGCGGCTTAATCATCAACTCAAATGCTCAGATTATATAATCAAACACTGTATCAGAAAAGAATATATCACGTTAAAGATCTATGCAACTCACAAGAACCATTTACCGAAGTTACAAATGTGTATGATATAAAGGATGCTATACTAGATTATAATCGAATATATTTTTTACTTTAAGTGTACGCGATATGCGGCTTTTCCATTGGACGAGAGGTAGGTCACATGACGGCGAAATTTGACGTTCATACGTTTTTCACGAGACCGTGTTCTTGAAATGACGTAAAGACTGACGGACTACTTCCACATTCCTTGGGGAACCCCTGTGAATTCTCAAGCACAAATACATACAGAAGCGTTCTATCTGATCATTAAGACCCTTTAATCTTGAACTCAGCGTTTTAGTATGCATTGAGAAACGTCAGAGGGTTTGACTGCATGATCGTTAACGAATATCCTCGCTACGACCCATCCCAGTGAACAAAACGAAGAAACAATACAATACAAGGCTTCAACGCCAAATGGGGAAATGTTACTGACATATGAAATCCCTTTGCATAACCCCTTATACCTATAGGGGGCACGGGTGGCCCAGTCGTCTAAAGGCGCCGCGATTCGCTGTGCAGAATTGCGTCCCTTGGGCTCGCCAGATACCTATGATTGTGGGTTCGAATTGCGGTTCGCCCCGATTATATTTCTAGGTTTGTCAGCACCATAACCGTGCTCGTGGGTTTCACCGAAGTGGTAAACGTCTGAGACCTGCATCACTTCGGGCTTTCCTCACACATTAAGCTGACATGCCGTGATATGACTGGAATACTGTTAAAAACGGCGTTAAACCCAACTCACTCACTCACTCACTTATACCTATATGTTCATATTTAAGAAATCCAAATCGGGTTCCTCATGTTACTATGTCATAGTTATTACATTGACTGATGTTAAAGTTTGATGCTGTACATATATAATGCGAACATATTGCCTGTATGATTATGTGAACATATTGCCTGTATGATTATGTGAACATATTGCCTGGATGTTAGTTTCCCATATGGTTATATACTTTATATATTAAAATCAACGTTTCGTAAGTCTTAACTAAAAGTTGTTTTTTCCACAGGAATAGCTGAACTTGTGAGATCCGGGTTAATATTCTGTAGATAAGCTCTGATTCTAAAGTTCCAGTTCTTTCTTGTTGATTTATCCGCCCACATAAATATTCGTTTGTTAATTCTCCTCTCAGAGGTGTTCTTCATTCTTTCCCAATGTCCAGCAACGCTTGACCACTGACGGACCTCAGGTAGAATGATTCTCCATTCACCGCTAGATTCGGGGTATACTTTCATAGTCCAAGATGAAAACGTATTGCCCTGCGGTGAACAGTATTGGCGGAAGAATGTATTGTCGTTCCCCATATTGCTGAGCCATAGCTAATGACTGGCCAGACCATTGTGTCATAGAGTTTAGTGTATGCATTAAAAGGCAGTCCACCAAATCCTTTACACTTAGCGATTAGCAATATCAGTGCTCTGCTCGCTGATTTCGCCATCAGTATTACTCCCAGATAATGGTAAGAATCAATGAAATCCAGTACAATATCACCACATGAAAATACTACATTGGTTCTTAAAACTGACTGTCCCCTGAAGTGGACCACTTTGGATTTATTCTGGTTAATAATCATCCTGTAGTGTTTACACCATTGGTCAAGACCAATTGTAAGTTGTTCGGGTTTCTCCTAACAAAACGTAGTCGTCTGTATAGGCTAAAATGCTTATAGTTCATTATTAATATTGATATCGACTTCCATAGCATTGATAGTTTTCACAAAATCGTTAATATACAAGTTGAAAAACAGTGGGTGATAATATGAAGCCTTGCTTGAGTCCTCTACTGACACTGAACCATGATGTCTGTAACTCGAACTGCACACTGGACATGCTGATATAAAGATTTTATAGCTTAAATCATCCTTCACTTTAATGCCACATTCTTGTAGTCTCTCCCACAACTAGGTTCTATCTATACCATCGTAGGCTTTTCTGAAGTCTATGAAGGCAGCAAAAGTAGACTTTCTCATTAATTTCCTCGTCTCGATTAAGCTGGTAACAGATCCAACGTGGTCCATAGCAGAACGCCTACGGCGAAGGCCATTCTACTCATCATAAAGATTGTCATTTCTTTCCAACCATGTATACAAACGTTCATTCAAAACGCTACACTTCAACATGTAAACTGCAGGCACCAGAGTTATTTCCTTATTTCAAGGATAAGGGTCTTAAATATCTTAAAAACCCGAGGGGGAGTGTTTTATCTAACTTATAAACCTAAAAAAACTTAAACAACATTTATCAACATTTTTATGTTTCAAAAAATACTTTTCATAAACCTTAGGAAACGGACGTAAAATATATTTTGCTGAAGGTTCTTGAAAAAGACATATTCTAAAAAGCATTGCGATTTATCAGCATCCCTGTAGCCTGGTGGTACACTCGCTGGGCTTCAGATACAAAGGTTCGATCCTCGGGAATATAAAGAAAACATTTTACATTTGAATTGACATTTCATTACATGTTACAGGTTGAATTAATAGGTGAGGTGCGGTGAAATGGGGTTTAACGTCGCGTCCAAGATTATTGCCCTTACATAGCGACGTGCATGTACGTGTGTGTGTTTGTGTGGCTGCTTGTACTAGTCCGGACTGATGCCGATTTATAGTGCTAGCTCACTGAGATACCATGCCGCAGTTTAACATGAATATCCCACTCAGACACAGTATACTGACTCCGAGCCGACCAGTCCTTGTTTTAGCCCCTTAATGCCGAGCGCCAGACAGGGTAACAAGAAGTACCATCTTTTAACGTCTTTTGGTATGACGCGGCCGGGGATCGAACCCCGTACCTTCCGCTCTCCGGGCGGACGCTCTACCACTAGACCACGGAGGTATTATGATACACTACATAGCAAATAAGCCTGGAGTATCCTATAAAATCCCGGGGACATCACAACATCCCTGTTTATGAGATTTATACCGACTGGAGAACAATAGGATGACATCACTGGAGGTTTATGATAGCAGACATCAAGTTGGCTTAAACTGTTTACAAGATCTCACCGGTAGCAGAGCAGGGCGTCATCTTTCTGTTCTTATCATCATCTTTCTCCGGCTGTCTTCTGTAGTAATACTGGGAACCTGAAACTGATTTCAAATTTGGTTCATAACAAAACATGCAACGTGCCTATAGTATGAAGGAACCGCCACTTAATTTCCCCCGCTCCCACCGCCATTGACAATTACAGACAAGGGTGTTCACGTCTTACGTTTTGCATGACTATCGTAACAGGAGATGCTGGCCCTGAACTACGTCCAAACCGCCTCATCAATTTGATCCTTAGCATGATATTGGAACATGTCCACTAGTTTGTAAAAGTCCCTTATTTCACAATGTATGTAATTTTTCACTGCACCAAATCGCTAATACACCGCTGAGCGGCAAAATAAAGTATAAAGAGTTTTTATGTATGAGAAAATAGAAAATAGAAAAAGATGTTAAATTTGATTATGTCCATTTAACTATTAGTCATTCCTGCAACAGTTTGTAAAAAGTAATATCTGTGGATGGGTAATGTTGTTTAAAAATAAATAAGTTCCATGAAGACTGGGTTAAGACATGAACTTGCAAACCACATGACACCTGCCATGTTTGAAATTTCGTACAATTGTTGCACAAAAATACATATATATTGATGTGTAAAATACCCATCAGCAGTTGTGTATTATGCGAAATTGTTATTTTTCAAGATTTTAGCCAAAGAATAATTCTTCTTTTAAAAATGTAGAAGTATTCTTTGAGTGTTGACTATGCATCAGTACAGCATCAATCAACCAAATGATAAAATCAACTGAAAGGTATAGTTTATTTTGCTCTGCAGCTTAGAACTAAATTTATGTCCACTTTTCCCACTATTTATATATATACAATTCACCTAGAAACAGTAAATCTTCATTCTTTCTTCATGACCATGTGTACCTTTTGACAATATCTTCATATTGATAGTAAACCCACTTTCAAAATTGTCTGTGCTACAACTTGTACTTGTACAAGAACATTGCCACCAGATGGTCAGAAGTACGGAGTCATATCATATGATGAAAAGCAGTAGAGGAGGCACTAGAAGTGGAAGTCGAATACGTACTGCAATACAACAGTCAAACCAAAACGTAATTAGATCATCGATAAAAGTGTCTGTATATGAGTATTCACAATGTTATAGTGTTTCGTCAGAACATTGACACAGGATACAATTTCAGGGAACCGCTATTTTGCATTGAAATATTGTGTAAGCGGTGCTTAATTTTTTCCAGGAGCGAAAATATGAATAATAAAAAAATAGAGAATATATAGAACAGAGGAGTCGTCCTATTTCGTGTATAGAGAGCCAGGGCACTTATCAACTTCATTGATCGTTTATGCAATATTTGTATTGAATGATCATTTTTAGCATATTTCGTTTATACGTAATGAAGTAACACTTTGAAGATTTGTCAAATATGTTCTATGACTTAATTCAACATTTATATCATAAAATATTTTTTTCAAAAACAAATTTACAATCGAATAGATTAATACATTTAAAAATATTTCATCACTGTACATGATCTTATTTGAGCTTATGGTAAGACATAACCAGCGAAGATCCGGGTGAGAATACGTCTTCAGCAACCTATGCATGCTGTAAGGGGCGACCAACGGGGTCGGGTGGTCAGGTTTGCTGACTTGGTTGATGAATGTCATCGTATCTCAATTGGGAGGATCGATGCTCATGTATTAGTTACCAGATTGTCTGGTCCGAACTCGATTATTTACAAACCGCCGTCATAGAGCTAGAATATTGCTGAGTGCAACGTTAAACAACAAACAAAAAAAGAAGAGTAAGATATACAAACCTTTTTTCCAAGTGAAACACCATATTAATGTGTAAACATGGTTACCACAAACGAATAAATTGTCTGTTTCAGCGGAACATATATGCTATTATTTTGTTGGCTATGTTAAATCAAGCAGCTAGCCCTCTCGTTATATAATGTGAATACTTAAAGTCATATCCTTTCTAAATTACTGAGAAAGTGAAGTAAATACGATTTTAGACAGCTATATTTTGGCGCCATAGACCAGACAAACTAATGCTTGGCAGCATGCGCCACGACCCACATCATCGGTCACACGTAATTGCCATCCAATCCTGGGGAAGCTTGTTTAAAGCTCTGTTCTGAATTAACGGTACCATCTTGAGAAAAGACATCAGTTGACCATAGTTTAACGCGCGGTTCATTGTTATGATGTGATGTTGGTTGGTTTGTTGTTTAACGCCGCACTCAGCAATATTCCAGCTATATGACGGCGGTCTGTAAATAATCGAGTCTGGACCAGACAATCCAGTGATTAATATCATGAGCATCGATCCACGCATTTGGGATCGATGACATGTATCAACCAAGTCAGAGAGTCTGACCACCCGATCACGTTAGTCGCCTTTTACGAGATGTACAATAGCAATAGATGTACACCTGACACTGTAGACCAAAACACAACACCAAATTAAAAATACACTCTGATTGTAGGTGTAGACACATTGAAAAGTAGCCAGCTGAAGAAAAAGTAGAAGAAAACCATCTTTAAAAATTAAAGTTAATAATTTACTTACTATAAGCTACGGTTACGAGTAAAAGAGAGGCAGTCGCAATCAACCTTCCGAGCGCCATCTTCTTTCCTTGGTATGGCACAACATCTGACAATATCTACACTTGAATCATCAGAACCAGCTCAGGTGGAATAATTCGTCTTTAGTTCTTACACCTGGGGCACATGGTAGTCATCTTTCAACTCTCATTATTTTCTACCTTTATTTATATGTCATCTAACGTTGATCTTAATATTGATTACTTGCACTGATGTGTGAATGATATGTTTTTAACTCGCACATTTAATCGTGAATTGATTGAGTTTTGCAGATGATGGATGGATTGTTTGTTGTTTAACGCCGCACTCAGAAATATTCCAGCTATTTGATGGTGGTCTGTATATAATCGAGTCTGGACCAGGCAATCCAGTGATTAATATCATGAGCAACGATCTACGCAATTGTGATCGATGACATGCATCAACCAAGTCAGCGAGCCTGACCACCCGATCCCGTTAGTCACCTTTTACGGCAAGCATGGGTTGCTGAAGACCTATTCTACCCCGGATCTTCACGGGTCTTTTGCAGATGAACCCTAATCACACATAAATAGTATTATTGATAACCATCCGTTTACTTGGCTAGTAGTGAAGCAGTCTGGTTCCCCGGGTATGCAGCGCTGGCGCTACACATATAATACCCAGGGAAGGAGTGGCTATTATATATTATTACAATCAAACGTCATTGTTAACAACGTTATGAACTAGTGAGGCCACGTATAGAATCTGATGCAGCTGGCTGTTGACATCAAGAGAGTAATCATGCTCCGTGGTCTCGAGGCCACCTCGTTGGCGTTGCAATAAGTGTCCTGTGTGCAAACTGGTGTACTGTTTCTCAGTTTTTAGGATAATCAGTAACTGCTAAATTGATGTTCATTATAAAACTTAGCTGAAAGGTTAATAAGGGATTTCAATGATTTGAATCAAATGTCCAATTGGCCCGATCGTATTCCTCCTATACCCAATACTTTAAGTAATCAAATTATACAACGAGAGGGCTAGCTGCTTGATTTCACATAGCCGACAAAATAATAGCATATCTGTTCCGCTGAAATAGACAAATTTATTCGTTTGTGGTAACTATGTTTACATATTAATGTTGTGTACTACTGGCAAAAAAAGGTTTGTCTTTTTTACTCATCTCTCTTTGTTTGTTGTTTAACGTTGCACTCATCAATATTCCAGTCATATGACGGCGGACTGAAAATATTCGAGTTTGGACCAAACAACCCACTGATTGACTCATTGAGCATCGATCTACAGAATAGGGATACGGTGACATGAATCAACCACGTCAGCTTACTTACTTACTTACTTTTGAGATTTAACGTGCGCTTTCCGACTGATGCGTATTTCGAGCCTGGCTGCCTCTTATACCAAACTGTGCTTCGCATTCATCAATCAATCTGTGAATGAGAAGATTGGTTTGACAAACATGTTTGTTCTGTAGACATTAGCAAACCACCAGTGTACCTGTTTACCGGAACATACTCGTTGACAACAATAACAAAAGTCAAAACAGACGCATATTTAGTTATACATAGTAATGTAACAAAAAAATATCATATGTAAATAGGCAATTCCCAGATTTAAAAGACCATAACTTGAAACAAGTAATACAAAAAAAGCACACCTCAAAGTCAATTTTCAGTTGATTTCAATCAAGGTCAAAAACGTTCCCAGTTTGACTGGATTACCAACACCTTAGTTAACTTCATTATGACTGTTATAACACGCCTTTCCGTAATATGATGATCACGACGAAGATATCACGGTAGAGTAGACGTTTTTCAAGATGTCGGGGGCACGGGTGGCCCTGTCGTCTAAGGCGCCGCGATTCGCTGTGCAGAGTTACGTCCCTTTGGCACGCCAGAAACCTATGATTGTGGGTTCGAATCCCGGTTCGCTCCGATTGTGTTTCTAGGTTTGTCAGCACCATACCCGTGCTCGTGGGTTTCACCGAAGTGGTAAACGTCTTAGACCTGCATTACCTCGGGCTTTCCTCCCACATTAAGCTGACACGCCGCGATATAACTGTAATACTGTTAAAAGCGGCGTTAAACCCAACTCACTCACTCAAAATTTCAAGATGTCAGGGATCAACCTACACGAGTCAGTAGTGGACAATGGCTAGTATACTATCCAGGTAGGACGATACGAGAGCAGATACATATCACCATCTATGAGAAGTTTATTATGGACGGACATAAGGTACACGGTCCCTATATATATTTCTCTCATATATAAGAAAACATCATTTTAATGTGTAAGGCAGAGCATTATATAAAGAAACGTCCAAAACACAATCTGGGACACTGTGATAGTTTGAAATACTCATGTACTCAGCCATAGGCAAAATATAATGTCAAGGTATTTGCCTTTCTGTGCTCACTGAAGCAACGCTCAAGATAACAGAAGGAGTGTATGTGTGGCGTGGCGTGGCGTGGTTGGCTTGGTTTGACATAGTTCGTCAATTATAGAAAGCATACTTTGGGGAAAGTGTATGGATACTAATAATAAAGGTTTCTGGAAGTATAGGTTTATGAGTCTCTAGCGTATAATGTTATTATAACGAAAGTTTGGGAATCAGCTTGCTTAGCAGAGGTACCACTATACACGACAAACCCACACAACAACACAAGACCTGATGCCTTAGTCGCATATCCACCGATGCCGGGAAAGATTAGTTTACGATGCCCGAAATGGCTGAAAATCGGGCAAATTGAGAGATACCCGACGGGGCGCCGGACGATCATCTGTGAGCATTGGCCATGGTTTTGACATCGGGAACACCCCGGTGGACACATCGGAAGAAAATAACTCGAAGTTGTTTTCTTGCGGCGACCGCTTGTCCACACCCCCATCGGTAATGGATCTGTCACACATCTTCCGGCAGCCCATCAGTGACCTTCCACGCACCTGCCTGACGGCGATGGATCGGACAGATATTTAGTGAGCATGTGTGGTATGGTCACCGGAGGATAGCCGAAAGGTCATCTGCAGGGAATCGGTCAATACTCGGACTCGGTGACCGGACGATTAAGTCGTAAGGTGACCAACCGGAGTTCGGGCAAGCATCGAGCAGGCGTCGAGCGAAAATCTGTGGCACACCGGGGCATCGATAAAACCCACCGATGGCCCCACATCGTCCGGCGACCGTTGTATTTGTGACATGAGTGAATAAACAGTCAGTTTATTAGACAGCCACAGAATGTCTGACTGTCTGTCGCCCGTATTTATAGCTACTACATATAATCTCATTGACTGATTAAAATGACGATAAAGTTGTTATCGCGAACTTTAGTGGCTTTATGAAGACAGAATTATAAAATTTAGTTTGACCGATGCATTGATGATAAGGCATGGGTGTTTATGAGTGAAGTTTAGTAAGAATAATAGTTTATCAGTTGTTGATATGCAGCGAATGTATACGTGGTAGGGTTATTTGACGAGGGTGGATGATAAACAGCTGTAGATACAGGTACAGATATTAACGTCTTAAGCCCCTTTCTCACATTCACGAATCTGAACACGAATGAACACGAGTTAACGTTTTTCCTTAAATCGTGTTAGAACGTATGAAGGTCGCGCACTCATTCGTGTTCATTCGTGTTAAGTCGTGTTTGGTCGTATGACAGTCGTATTGGGGTCGTGTTAAATGAGGTTAAATCGTGTCGTATCGTATGAATATCTTATGACGGTCGTATGAGTGTCGTATTCAGTCGTATGAAGGTCGTATGAGGGTCGTATGAGGGTCGTTTTTGGTCGTATGAGGGTCGTGTCTGGTTAAGAAATTTGCATAAACCACAAGGTCGAGCACGAATCAACACGATTTTTCAACTTTTCTTAAATCGTGTTCGCAATTTCTTAAATCGTGTATGTGAGATAGGGGCTTTACATTTGTTTGCTAAACTCTATCTGACCTGCACCATGAGAATTGCGGGTCCTGTCTGATATGCGTTATCGGGTTGACCCTTGGCAGTCTAAAGACAATGGAACGTGGTCGTTAGTTGTAATATTCCCTTATTTCACAATTACCAATTCTTAATATGTGGCATTTAACGTGATAAAATATTTGTCAAACTTTGTTCATTTTCCCCATGTTAATAAAGTTATTAGCGCTTGAGAACCAACTGCAGAGTAAGATCATATCACAAGCGTCTTGCCAATAAATAAAACTAAAAATAATTATGCTTCCAGTTGAATATTAGAGGGAAAGCGTTCAGATGCATTTAACGTACGTTTGTGTGTAAACATATATTCCACGTTCGCAATCACTTTAAATAGGAAGATATATTTCTAGGTACAGTAAACACCAATAGTTATATCAAAGGTGAATCATTTTTGGCGCATTTGACAACGTATTTGAAGCGCGAAGGCGGTATCTAACAGGAACGAGTGTGGCAATGTATTCATAACTCGCTTAAAATTTGGACATTACCTAAATTCTGCTTTGTAAAAAGACGTCGCTGCTATAAGAATGTAATATTTGAGATGAGGATGACATTCCAACGACTGTCCACTTGGTCCAAGGGGGCCTACTCTCATTTGTAGTTTAAGGTCATCAGACGCCGCGTTAAGAATGTCGCGATGATGCTTTGCCATACTGTTATGTTTTTTAGTGATCCTCTGAGTGAGTGAGTGAATGAGTTTGGTTTTACACCGCTTTTAGCAATATTACAGCAATATCAAAGCAAAATTTGTCTCAACACTCCCACCTAGTCACCTTGAAAACAGTTCGGTCAATATTTGTTGCTGGGTATTTCAAGTGAAATCATAATTCTATCCAACCTTCTTCATTTGTAATTGGGTGAGTGAGTGAGTATGGTTTTACGCCGCTTTTAGCAATATTCCAACAATATCACGGCAGGGGACACCAGAAATGGGCTTCACACATTGTACCCATGTCGGGAATCGAACCCGGATCTTCGGCGTGACGAGCGAACGCTTTAACCACTAGGCTACCCGACCGCCCCAGTGATGCTCTGAACGTTTGTGATGCCACAATGCTTGCAACATTTAGGTACAAAACTTGCGGGCCCTTATACTTATATTCCAAACGTATTGTTCGCGACCCTTGCAATAGATCATAGCTATGCAACTGCGGGGCGGTC